AACACCTTCTTCCCACTGCAGGGTGAGATTCTCCACTGCTGCACACCTTTGCCAGCCATTTCCACCAGGCACAGTAGGTCCTGTCTGCAGGGAAAACATGCTGGCAGTGATCAGTACCCTTTTGATGTGGCTGGAAATCACAAGTCATGGACAGTGTGTGTCTTTTTGGTGGGTCAGCATAGCCTGGAAGAATAGGAGGTGGGGTCACTGAACCCCATCAGTCTCCGGCGATATTTTGCTGCCTTTTCTCTGTAGTCCCAGAATTGCCATTCAGTAGCTCAAGTGCCTCATCTGAATTCAACAGGGCTGATGGTGCTTATCTACATTTCATGCAAATCAGCCCAAACACTGGTTTCTGGCTGCTTTCCAGTTCAGATTAAAATTCTCTCTCTTGCACGCTCACACCAGCCCATTGGTGGACTTTAATGTCTGTTAAGTGCTCCCATGGCTTTGACATCAGAAGAGCTGTCTGAACTTTGGATCAGGGAGCACAATCCAAAACAAGAATGAGCTGAACTGCATTGTTGTGCCCTGAGCAAGACCTGTTTCCTCTGAAAGACCAGACATTTTTGTTTCTGGGGCCAGCTAGGCCTGGATGAGCAGTCTGTCCTCAAGCTCAAGTCTCACTAGCTCTCCTGCTCCCCCCTGACTTGTCTTGCAGCAAGACACCATGGGTGCACCTCAGTCTGTGGGGTTCCTGTGCCCTCCCAAGGCTTGGTGTGTCTGCAGGGGAGCCCTACAAACAAATGTGTAAGGCATTGTGTTGGGAAGCAGGAAAAAACATGTGCCACTCCAAAATCATTCAGTGTATCACCTGCTGCTCCGTGCCTCAGTTTTCCCAAGTTTTGCTTATTTAGGCTCTTTGTTTAGTCTCTCTCTTTACATGTTTGTACAGTGCCAAGTACAGAAGGTGTCTGATTTTGCTTCAGGTTCTGAAATGTTTCCATAATACAGGCACTAACTCTTCTGTGCCAGTGTTTTAATTGCCAGGATCCCCGAGGTTTCTCTGCATACCCCTAGCAGAAGCCAGAACACAGGGCTGACCTCTCCTAGCTTGCTTGTTCTGCCTGGCAGACTCTTTTCAATTATTTTCTCCCCATGTTGCTGTTTACATTTTGTACTTGCATCCTCTGCAGTGTTTCCAGTCACCTTCCAGCAGCCTGAATGCCTCCTAATCTGAAGTATATTTCAGCCTTATCTCTATCAAAGCAGAAGGGTAGGGGTGTCATCCTCATTCTCAGCTGCTCTTCAGCAGCCTGATCCATAAGGAAGCTGAAGCCATCAGCTGCTCATCTCAGCTCTCACCAGAGTTTGAGTAAGTTGCAGATGATTCTTCTGTCAAGAGCACTGAGGACAAAATGAAACTTTCTTTTTTTTCAGGGCTGCACGTTAATCTCTTCTCAATGTGCTTGGAAATGATTGCGTGTCATGTTTCATTTTGGGATGTCATTGAATTTACTTAGTCCCCTTGCAAAGAGTCCTCCTGCGGCAATTTGATAGCTGGTGTGTGTGATCATGGGAGGAGGATCCAGAGGGGCCAGATCAGGAGTTCTGGACTGGAAGCGCTTTGCTGAAGCAATTGTGTTGGTCTCCGTTTACACCAGTGTATAAACTGGGATTGGGATTCACTCTGGTACCACAGGGAGAAATTATTTTGAGATTATATAGTAAGGAGCAGCAGAGCAGTTGCTGTTGATGTTGAGCAAATTGGTCGTGTTGGCCGAGGATGAGGAGGGATCTAAGAAAATTGGGTAGGCTCCTCAGGTCTTTCTGGCTAGCCTCGGTGCGTTAGGGCATTCCCCAGCCTGCTCCTCACCCCAGCAAATCCCAGCACCCCCCTGCTACTGCACCTTGCAGCTCTCAGAGCAGACTCAGCTTTAGGTTTAGGTTGGATATGTATTTGTTCACTGAAAGGGTTGTCAAGCATTGGAACAGGTTGCCCAGGAAAGTGGTTGAGTCACCATCCCTGGAGGTATTTAAAAGATGTGTAGAAGTGACACAGACAGGTTTTAGTCATGGACTTGGTAGTACTAGGTTTACAGTTGGACTCAATGATCTAAAGGGTCCTTTCCAACCTAAATGATTCTGTGATTCTGTGACTCTTAAAATTTTGTGCTGTCAAGCCAGAGAAAGCCGCACATGTGGTGTGCAGGGTGCACACCCTCTGTTCCGTGAGTCATGGGGAAAACATGCAGCAAGGCAGTAAGCACCCAAGAAAACCATACTAGGGGCTGAGCACAGGGTGTGCAGGGCACTGTGTGCTGCTTTCCCTTTTTTCTCTCTGTAAAGGGTTTTCTCAGCTGCCCCTTTTCTCATTGTGGTTTTCCATGTTCTTATTTTCTCCGCTTGGCAGTGGGGATTAGGGCCACTTATTCCTATCTTCCCCTTCCCTCTGTACAGGTTCATCTATTCTCTCCCAGGCCAATTGGATTCTGAGCAATAAATCCCTATAGTGTTTTTATCCTGGACACAGGCAGTATGGGGTGTGCTAGTGGAAGGGGCCCGTGCCTGGCACCAGTGGGTTACAGAAGAGCCATTTCTATCGAAAAGCAGAGCAAGGCTTTGTGTCCTTCTTTTCCATCCTTGGGTTTTCCAGTTTTTACCCAAATCCACAAGGTTCTTGAGAATATTCTTGAGAATTAAGATATTTATTGTCACCTGGAACATTTGCTGAATTTTTTATATTGATCAGACTCAGAGTTGCAGAAAGCTATTGCAAACAAAACCCCACTGTCACGCTTACAGTGAAAACTCACTTCTCAGGCAGCAATAAAAAAAAAAAGAGGTGACAGAGATCTGAGTGCACTGAACATGCACCCATACATACACACGTAACTGTGTAATTACTGGTATAATTGAAGTGATAGGAATAAAGACCTAGTTAGCAGTGGAGCAGGATCATTAACATAAAAACTACAAGCACAAAAATGCACTGAAATGACAAAAACAAGGAAGCTGTATGAGATTTGCATTAAATTAGTGACTGTGTGTAAGATGCTATTTAAATGGCAGGTGACTAGAAAATATCTTTCCCTTTTAGTGTAAGAGGCTGAAATGTTCATTTTCATGGTAAACAGTAACTACACATTGATTTCTAGCTTTAAAGCATTTCTGCAAATAGCACTCTCAGTACGTGGGGTTGAAGTCACAGAAATCAGAGGACTGTCTTGCCCTACATGTCTCTGAAACTAAGCAGCACAGCTTGAAATTATTTCATACAATTGTTAAAAAAACTGCAGTGACAACAACAAGAAAACCAACCACCCTGTGTCTGAGGGTGGTAAATCAATTCACATACAATTATTTGGGAAAGTGATCTGATGAATTATTTCAAACCAGAAACACGTGTGAGGAGGAACATCAGGAACTTGCAGTGAGCTGAACGTGCCCACTGACTGCTCCTTGTCACTTGGCAGCACCCTCGCTTTCAGCACAGCAGGGGAATGGGATCATACCTAACTACTACATCAAGACAGCAGCCAGAGCCAATGGAAGAAATATCTGAGCTGCTTCCTTGGGGGCTTCTCAGACTTCCTTCATACCTCCATCATCTCCACCATAGTTCTATAGTGTCCCCCACCTGCACCTTTTTCTTTATAGGCTGTAGACACAGAATCATAGAATTATTGAGGTTGGAAATGACCCATAAGAGTGTTGAGTTCAACTGTAAACCTTAACACTACAACGTCCACCACTGAACCACATCCCAGCTGCCAGGTCTACAAGTCTTTTACATACCTCCAGGGGTGGTGACTCAACCACTTCCCAGGGCAGCCTGTTGCAACGCTTGATAATCACAGGTGAAAGTATTAACACGTAAAAGGTTTTAGCAGCAAATGAAGATTTACTAGAGGACTAGCAGCAGCACTTACTCATTAACAAATTTAAAGATATACAGAATAATTCATTAACATACGTTGTAATTAAAATAATAACTAGAAATTCCAAGATGACAAGATTCACTCTAACTTACATGGTACCTTAAATCAATATATACATGCATGCATATTCACAAACACAAAACATACAGTCAAAAATACTTGGATCTGCTAAATAAGTATGTACGCACACTTGTGAAAATAACTGTGTATGCCCAAACACATTAGCGAGTAAACAGAGAGAGTGCATGAAAGAGAAGCTAGATCAAAGATAAAAATTCCCTTTTCTTGAGTTTAGAGTATATACAGTGCATTGACATTCCTCAATGGCAATAATTGAGGCTTGAGAGGATTGACTTCACCCTGGCATCCCCTTGGCTCTAATGGGAGATGTTACCTCAAGGAGTTGATACCTGAGGGGTGTTCCAGCAATTGGTGTCTTGGGGAAGGGCATGCTGACCCTACAGGGGTGCCCTGGGAGTGAGGGACGGTGGGATTGGGTGTCACCGCAGGGTCCCACTGCATCGGTGCTACCACTGCTGCCCTCCTGCCTCTCTGCTGCAGAGCTGGAGGGAGAGGTGGGGTCCTCCCCAGACCACAGGAAAGGTTCCTGGGGCCCCAGCACGAGCAGGGATGGAGAACCTAGCAAAAAAACGTGGAGCACATCCATGTGGAGCTGGCCCGGCATAGACTGGACTCGCTGCTGCTACTGCTGCTCAGGTGGAGCCCCACAGAGGTGGTCAGGACCCTGCTGAACGTCTCTCCAACATGTGACAGGTACCGACCCTGACAGCCCTGAGGGCTCATTCCCTCGGGGAGAGAGGGCCCAGAGACACTCTCTGGCTGCCAGACCCACAAAAACTGCAGGATATCCCCGAGGAGCAGGGCTCTCCATCCCCTGACGCTTCCAAGGCTTGGGCCAAAGCTGGCCAAAGCAGAGCCCCTGCCCCATGGGGAACAGCTCCTCAAGCTCCTGCTGCCTCCCCGTGCTCCCCAAAATGAGGGGGGTGGGCAGGGCCGGGGTCCAGATGAACTGGCCCCCGGGCGCACTGGCCGAGGCAGCTCTGCTGACGGAGTTTGCTCTGACTCGGCAGTGCTGCCGTGGCCCTGTGGGAAGTGCTGATGTCCAGTCGCCCGGCTTTGCGGAGAGTCTTGTCGGAGCTGCTCAGCGTGCTGCAGGACTGCCGGCAGCGCAGGGTGTTCAGCTGTGCCGCAGAGGACTCCTGCATCTACCAGTTGGCTGTGAGTGACCACGCTCTGCCCCAGAGCTCTGCCTTCGTTCTCCTCCTCCTCCTCCCAGACGCCTGTGCCACATGCTCAGGCCCACCCGATGCTGGTTTGGCCCCACCAAGCCTGTCCCGGCACAGGCAGCACTCTGCCTTCCACCCTGCCTGCATCCCCCTGCCTGGCTCTGGCCCTGGCACAGAGACGTGGGGACTCTGAGGTGGCTTCAAGGGGGGAGGAGACCCTTGCCATGGGCTGTGCTGGTACAGGGGAGGGAGCCCTTCAGCTCTGCTGGTCTCTCACCGCTCTCTCCATTTTAGATGCTGGTCTGCAGTCAGATTGATGACAAGAGGTTTGCTGACCTGTACAAGGCCCAGAGGTACCTGAGGCATCCCAGCCCGGTGATGCTCTCACTGGTGCTCACGGGCCTCGTCATACTGTCAAAAACACCCAAAATGGTGAGCAGGGGGTTGGCAAGGGGAGGCACATTGGTAGCCAGGGCCTGGGGGAAGCGTTGGCTTGGCCCTGGCTGGGAGGATGTGTGGTGATGGCTCCAAGCATCCTCCCTGCTCTGGAGGGGGGTGGGCAGTGCCTGGGGGGGGTGTCTTTCACTGCTTCACAAAAGGGTAACCGGCGTGTTTTGCACAGGCCAGGAAAATGCCGGTGCTGCTGCCGGACATCGTGGAGAACCTGCCGGCTGCCGACACCAATGTCACGGTGAAGGCCCTGGTGGTCATCACCAATGTGACTCGTCAAATGAAGTGGGAAGAGGCCAACCACATCGCTCTGAGGCTGGTGGAGAAGCTCCTGCCACTCTTCGATGATGTAAGGCTGCTGTGATTGCCTGAGCTGAGGTGATGGGTGAAGGACCTTCAGCCCCAGCCCTGCGGGCAGCATTTGGGCAGGGGTGTCCCCCTGGCTCCTCTTGCGTGGTCTTTTGGGGCTCGTCCCACTCTCCTTCTGTGGCCGTTCAGGGCTCCAGGGCCATTGAGCCACAGCTGCAGGTCTGGCCGACGGCTCCTGCGTTCAGGCTCTGACCCCAGAGCATCTCCTCTCCCATCAGCCACGCAAACAGCCCTGCTCCCCGTGGCAAGGAGTGCTGGTGCTGAGCTCCCTCTGTCCTCCTCCCTGACAGGAGTCCAGCCAGGTGCGGGAGCTCTCCATCCACCTCTTCAAAGAAGTGATGAAGACCGCGGTGGGGAGCAACACCAGAAACATGGTGAAGAAAGTGAAGAGTGCCCTGCTCCCACTGTTCTTCCATATGAATGACCAGAACACCAGTGTGGCCAAGGTACAGGGACCAGCAATTGGTGTCGTGGGGAAGGGCATGCTGACCTTACAGGGGTGGCCTGGGAGTGAGGGACGGTGGGATTGGGTGTCACCGCAGGGTCCCACTGCACCGGTGCTGCCGCTGCTGCCCTCCTGCCTCTCTGCTGCAGAGCTGGAGGGAGAGGTGGGGTCCTCCCCAGACCACAGGAAAGGTTCCTGGGGCCCCAGCACGAGCAGGGATGGAGAACCTGGCACAGACATTTCTGTGGCCTGTGGACACAAAGCACGCAAGTCCCTACAGGCTTTGTGTGCTTTGAGCGCCAATCCCTGTCCCTCAGGGTGTCATGGCCAGCTCCCAGAACACAGGATGGCCCCAGGAATGAAGGGGGATCAAATCCCGGGATCACCCCATCCCCCCAGCTCAGAGCTGGGCCCAGAGGAAGAGGATGCCGGGTCTCCTTCCCTGGGCTCCGGTGCCATCCTGCAGCCTCTGCTTTTCTCCACAGGCTTCCCAGGACACCCTCCGTGCCTGTGCAGAGCTCCTGGGGTGGAGGAGGTTCAGCTCCCTGGCTGCAACAGGGCAGACACACCTGATGAGGGAGTACTTGGTGAGTAAAGCCCCCAAACGCTCCGGCCGGGCTGGAC